TAAATACAGCATCATCTTCATTTCAGGCTGCAAAGCAACAAAATTTGATTATTATAAAGGGGGGTGATTCTTTTCTATACCCACTCTGTGTGTGTATATAAACCGCTTAATTACAAGGAACTATCTAAAAATATGTTAACTGAAATTTGTGTCTTATTTTTGGAAGGTGAGGAAAGCCCATCACTTCCTGAGATGTCTTTTCAGAATCCCCACATTGCACAGATGACGGAAGGTACCGACGGTTACGGAGACCATCATGTACCTAGAAACCTCAGTCAAGGTACCTCTTGTACTTAACCATGTGACAGTATGTCTCCGCTCAGAGAACTTCCTTTCTGAATTCCCCCAACTCCTTTGAACCTGGATCTTTTGTTCAGCAAACTTGAACCTTAAAGCAAGCAGAATTAGTGTGCAAGTAAAACAAAAGTTTTTTTATTTTTTATTTTAGAAACAGATAACAGCAGCACAGCATCAGAGGCATCGTACGTTAATGTACCACCTAAAAAAGAGAGGGAGGACCATTCTGCTGCATCTTCAGAGAGTGACTATGATGAACCTGGAACCTGGTGAAATCAACATGATGACTGCAAGAGATTTTTCTCAGCAGGTAAAGTATTAAAACAGTCAAAAACACACAAAACATCATTCTTTTAATTCTTCATTCTCTTTATACTGTGGACAATGATGTGCATTTATTATTTAGGACAGATGATTCACAACAACACGTCCCTGAAAACCATGGAATGTAACACAGACGGGCCCTTGCAATACCTGAGTGTTTGTTAAGAATATTCTAGAAGAAAAACAACAACAAAAAATTGACATTGTTCGTCTATTTTATAATAAACATTCTAAACAATTAACCATTCTATTATTAACCTCACAGATGGATCCAATCTCATTCTTTTTTTAACTCTCAATTGTGTAAAATGTAAAAAAATTTGCATGTGTATTTAGAATATTTGCATATGTTAAAGTCTTTCATTAATCAAAATAATAGTCTACACAATATAAATCAGCCACAGTGCTTCATCATTGTAAGGGAGAATGTGGCGTCGACAAAGACACTCACAATTACTTCACACACACAAAAAACCACACTCAGTGAAGAACACAAAACTTATTTTTGTTATCCAGCCCCACAAACCGCACAAAGCTAATTTTGAAAATGGCCAGCATTCTCTTTTGTGAGGAGAGAGCATGCAACACTTGCTTGTGGACACAGATACGATTTCAGAGAACTGTCGCAGACTTGTGTTCATTCTTTGTGTTTGCCGCAAACCCACTTTAGCTGCTGTTGTTCCCTCAGGTCTGAGAGCGTCAGGGTCGAGTGCCAGCTACATTGACAGGCGTACGCACGCCCACCCCTTTTCCTTCTTAGTTTGGCTTTTAGTTTGTGATAGTCC